CGGGAGGAAAAATGCAGTACCGAAATTGACAACTTAAAATCTGCAGCATTACGAAATGATGAAGAAAAACGTATGCTGATTGATGAACTGACTCAGGTTATTCAAATTTTTCATAGTATTACATTATATTATGTCATTTCTATTTATCTATTTTTTTAATCTTCAGGTTAAAGATATGTTAGTGAAATCTGAAATTGAAAATAAACGTAGTGTTGCTATTATTAATGAATATAAGCAAATTTGTAAAAGGCAAGATGAGCAACTTTCTTCTACTAAAGCTCAATTGGAGGAACTGAGGGTAAGTGGTTTACAGAATTTTGCAGATATTTTAAATAAAAAGTTGAATTAAATGAAGTATTTTTTCAATGTATTATTGTTTTGAATAAGAAACGTACTGAAGCGTGTTCGACATGTGGTACATGTAATAAGGCATGTGGTGATAATGCAAACACTACTCCAAATGAAACAATAAGGCATCCATTAGAAATAAAAAATGAACAAGTCTCAAATAAAATAAACAGTAAGTGTGGAAGGATGATGTTGTAAATTATTTTTGTATTAATTTTTGATTTATACATTTTTTTAGTATCAAGTAATGATTTTGAAAGAGTCATTGATAGAGTTCGTGAGTTGGAATTGGAGTTAGCTGAAACAAAATTAGCTCATGTGGAAGCTGAATGTAAAAATCAGGTACATAAGACAGTGGATAATAAAAATCTTAGAAAAGCTTATTTTTGCATAAATATATTAATGATATATGCTCACAACTATGGAATTCAATTTCATCATTGCATTAATTAGTTTATCTCTAAAAGATCTTTATTTATAATGAATTATTGTTTTAATTAGCAATATTATATTATATAAATAATTCTTTTACATTATTTTAGTGTAAAATTATTTTTATTTAATTGTATTTTATGACCTTTTCGTGATATTTATTTATAATTATTCTAAAGGATTTGAATCATCAACTTAATGCTACACTGGCTGAAATACAAAATAGTCGAAATAATTGGCCACCTTGGTTAAGTAAAACACTAACATCTATTAAAGAGCAAGTAGCGACAAGAAGGGACCAACCAACATTTCAAAGTTATACTCACAGTAATCATTCTCCACAAATGACGAGAAGAGATTCAAAGACCCTGCCAAATTTGAAAGAAAAATCATCATCTTTACTTTCAGAAAATGAATATTTCAAGCATCTTCTGAACAAAGAAGTTTTACGGAGGGATAGTATGTCTCAGAAGAAAATCACTGTAAATCCAAACAGAAATAGTTGCGAGATAAAAAGTAGCGAATTGATGCCACCGATTAAAGATTCTGCTAGTTGTAACAGCTTAACAATGCAATAAGTTGATAGGTTAATAATTCCTCCAATTATTATTGTGTGGTCATTGATAAATAAGAGCAAAAATTGTCAAACATTTATAATTTATAACAGTTTTTGTTATATGCAAAAAGATCTAATCTAATATTAATTCATTGTGATCTTCATTAATGCACTTGTTTGTCTCGTCAATCTAATTTGGACTAGTCAAATGTTCTAATAAAAATGTATTAGAATTTGTACTCAAATCTTTTAAACAGATCTAAAAAAAACTAATCATACATAAAGTATTTAATATATTTCATATTCAAGATATATAATTTTTAGTTTTAAGTTTCCTCTACTTATTAAAGTTTAATTCATCATAATTTTAAGAAAGCATAATTTTAAATATATATAATGCAAAAGAAATATTGATACTGGACTCTACATTCTTTAGGCTTGTGATATTCATTGGATTTCTGTGTCTTAACATGAATGTGTTAAATGTTATTTTTACAAACACATTTGATGCTAATGTTAAATTGCAAACTATTTTTATTAGTAATGCATTGCATGAAATTTTGATGGATAATAGGCCTTGTATCTTATATCATATTTATATTGATGCATAGCCTATTATCATATGCATGAAATATGCATATTTCGGTATAAGTATTCTGCTAAGTATTTCTCATTTATTGATTTTAATACTCATGCAAAACATAATGAGTATCCTTAAGAAACCTTTATTTTCAAAATTCACATATTCACATGGCTTTGCAATTTGAAAAAATATTATGTTTGTTGTTTCACTTTAAAAATATCTTAAGAGTTTCAATAAGTGATACTATTGAAATGCACCAGTAGAGAATACAGTATTTTTTAACATTCATTGTAATTTTCTTAGCATTCCGTAATGAATAATATGCCTATTATCAATTCATGTTTCTAAGTTGTATGCATTTAGAGACTATTATGTAGTATGTATTTAAAAATGCACAATATGTTATTATAATGTTAGAAGATCGTGGTGTAGATATATTTTTGTAGGTTTCAAATCTTTTCAATTGATATGATATATGAATCTTTTTTAATGCTAACACGCTGAAGTTGCAATATTTATGTTTTACAAATATATTCTTATATTATTATAAAATATAGTATCACATATTCAATAACTTGCCAATAAATGTTAGTGTATTATCTAACACTTGTATCAAACAATTGCTTAATATAGAGCTTTTAAGTACCATGACCTTATGCTAATATAAGAAATCACAAATTTACATAAAGTCTAATTATTTTAGTACTTTTAATAATTTTATGATTTATTTTGTATATAAGCTGATGTTATGTAACATTTATTTGAATTGCATATTTGTTTAATACAAATGTGTGCAGTTCCACATAAATTGAATCTCTGTTGATTTTTAAAGCAAGCCCTATATCGGAAAATGTATAATTTGAAGTAATAAAGGCTGCATAACATATTATTTACTATATGTGAATTCATTTTAAGATATTAAATTAAGTTTACAATATGGCTATATAAGTGATAGTTTATCATTTAAAACTGCGACCTTCTTTATATTTGAAACCTCTTTTAGCATTTGTAGAAGCTAAGCTGAATGTTTTTCCAAAACTATAATGTTAAATTGAATTGATAAACTTTCCAAATTGTTTCGAATTTATTGTATGAACATACTTATGATTTACGCCTGGGATATGACCAAGATAGTTGGGAATAATTCCTGAACACTTTCTATATAAAACCAAACCTTTTTTTTCTTTAGGTCTGTCATCTTCAATACATTTGGTATAAGATTTTTGATCAGGTTTCACCATTTCATTCTTAAATTAATGTTAAAATATTACCATTTGAGATTTAATTACAGCATTTAAATCAAAGATTAATATTTTTCACATATACCTTTTTATCTACAATAGTTTTATCTGCTGGGATATAAATATTCGGTTGTCTTTTAATCACTTTTTCACCTACTAATGTAAGAGGAATGGGGCGACCAGATACTCCTGCTAATAATGGTCCACTTCCTAGAATTAAATATAATTATTGAATTAAATAATAATTCATCTTTATCATAGAGTTGATTGTAACGCACGTTGATGCCCCGGATATCCATGCATAAACTTTTTTTGTGCTGTTATCACAAGTTCCATATCGGGCTCATATAACTGAGACGATATAAAAAGTTATTAGGTGAAAACTTATATAAGTAATACATAATTACAAAAAATACACATTTCATTTGGATTGAATAGAAATACCTTGTAATCGTTTGCATATTTATCTGATAATACCAATTTCTCAGAATGAGTAATACTAGGATCAACAAACAATTCTTGTGTTGTTTTGCCAAAAGTGTGGCCCACATTGTTCGAGTATCCTGGAACATGACCCATATACCTGTTCCAAGAATGAAAACCTCATAAATTAGTGTAAAAAATATTGATAATTCTTAATTTATAGGTTCAAGCATATTTCATTTATATTTTAACTTCCCGTAGGGGAAGTTATAGTAATCGCAAAAAAATCGAAAAGGAAAATTTTTATATATCTTTACGTTTCAAAGGTTTCTGAATATTTTGGCATACCTTAGAAAAAATGGATGTATGTGTGTGTGTGTATGTGCGTGTGTTTCGTCGACGATTTCGGGAACACCGATCAACCGATTTGAATAAGTCAAAAAACATTCGGTTCGTATTGATAAGAAAACGTGCTGATTAGTTTTTGGCGAAGTCAGGTCAGCCGTTCCGAAGATACGGGGCAAAAAGTGCCGAAAACGGTAACTCAGTTTTTGAGAGAACGAAGCGTCCGATTTTAATAATTTAAACATAATAAAAACATTTTACTTGTATTGACAAGGTGAAGAACCGATCAAATTTTCATAAAGGCAGGTCTAGCGGTTTCGGAGATCTAATGAAAAAAGTAAAAAAAATGCCATTTGGCGGTCAAAAATGATCATAGACATATGCACATCAAATTATCAGATATTTTATAGAGATTTTAACAATAAGTATAATTTTGGTTTACATTCCTATGGGTTCCGTACCAATGTTTACGCGTTACGTCGACGCGGCGCTTACGCGGTTTGATATTTCGTCTTTATGCAGTTAAAGCAGTACGATTGCTTTAAAAAAAAGTTTAGATCTTTCAAAATATGTCAAAATAAAGAAAACATTTTTTTTTCCAAAAAAAAAAAAAAAATTAAAAAATTTTTTTTTTTCAAAAAAAAGTAATTTTTTGTCTAATTGTTTGCCACAATCTTATTTTTTCGAAGTAAATTTTTTTCAAAAATGTTAATCGTTTTAAAAAAAAATAATAATTTTTAGTACGGGAAGTTCCAGCAATTTGCCTTAAGGCACGATGCCTTAATTGCCTTAAGACAGAATTCCACTTACAGCTAGTTAACATTTTTATTCCCATGTATTTGGGATTTGAATTTATACCGCCGTTAGATCGACTTAAGTCTTGTCTCTGGTAACACTACTGTGCAACATATGTCATGTCTAACCTACAAAATGTACAAATCTAACATAAAAAAGTATATGTTTGATAAAATTCATTGACGTTGTTCGTTTGAAAAATTGACAAACTTTATTTGTTTTGCGTTAGTGAGAAATATTGTTTTAAAACACATGAATGACAAAGTTGTCATTTACAAATGAAGTAAGCCGTATTTAAATTTCAGGTTATATTAAAGTCGAAAATAATGACAATATCCTTTTAAAATATATTCCAACATCGTGTTTCAAAAGTCAAACAAAAAAATATTTAATTTGCAAGAACTTGTTAACGTGCGCGGTAAAAAGATTTTATTTTTGCAATGTATGATAATACATTTGAAATTTTCTTATAAGTACCTACGATGGCTACATTATTTCACACGCTTCAAGACCACAAAGAATATGCTGCAAATAATTCAATGAATAAACAAGAATATGAATCAGGTGGAAATACAATGGCAGCACGAAAAAAAAAAATTCAAGACGTTGAGCAGGAGGAAGGTGAGATCATATCCAACTCTGAATCAGAACACAGTTTTGACAATAACGTGCCATCCAAGCGTTTAAAAATTTGTAACAATGATCAAGAATTAAAATTAAAAAGCAATGAAACAGTAATAAATGATGTGGCTTCAGAAGATGCTGCCCTGAGTAGAGAAAACCAATACAATAGTACTGTAACATTATTTCCCCCTGAAAAGCCTAAAGTATCAGGTGAAGAATATTTAAAACTTAAACAAGAATTAAGAGAAAGAAAACTGAGATTGAAGAATATACCACGATTAAATGTAAAAGAAGCAGGTGTTGAAGCTGCTTTATGTTTACTTCCTGAGAACCGAATACCTTTATTTTTAACTGATATACAGCATTTGATTTTGTATTCTATACTAGGAAATCACTCTCCTTATCTGCCTTCCCGTTGGTGTCATTTACAAAAGTGGAATCATTTATCACAAATTGTAGTAAATGTTGCGGAAGGGGTCAGTTTAAATGATTATTTAGAACATAAATCATCATTTGAGACTATAGATAACATATTTAATACATCTGTTGAATTAGTTACACCCGCAGTTAGTGAAAACAGCATTATTGAAGAATTAGCATCTGTTCCCTTAACAGGGACCCAGAAGGATAAACTACTGAAACAGTTTGGAACACTAGAAACTGCCATGAAAAATTCCAAAGATCTTATGGTCATGATGCGAGCTGTATTCCCAATAAGTAAAGAAGTTAAAAATACACACCAGGATGATTTACCTCCAACTGATACATTTTCTCGGACTAAACTGCTATTATCAGCTTGGCAAATGGTAGAAGAAGGATATCCACTGCCATTAAAAGGTGAACTGGCAAAACGATATTCTGATTTTATCATGACTAAAGATTCATATACTCAAGTTACAGCTAAATCACCAATGTTTGGTCTAGATTGTGAAATGTGTAAGACAAGATTTGGTTCTGAACTTACAAGAGTATCAATGGTCAATGAAAAGTTTGAAGTGGTTTATGAAACATTTGTTAAGCCATACAATCCAATTGTAGATTATGTAACTCAATTTTCTGGAATCACAAAAAAGATGTTGGAGAATGTTACTACACGTATTGAAGATGTCCATCGTGACATTAGACGAATATTGCCTTCTGATGCCATACTAGTAGGTCAATCACTTAACTCTGATTTACTTGCATTGAAAATGATGCACCCTTATGTGATTGATACAAGTGTAATTTTTAACATAACTGGAAACAGGGGTCGGAAATCAAAATTACAGTTGCTTGTAAGGGAATTTCTTGGTCAAGCAATTCAAACAGCTTCATCTGGACACGATTCTATTGAAGACAGCTCAGCATCCTTGAAACTAACACAGCTTAAACTAGCTAAAGGCATTCATTTTGGAGATGCTGTACTTGAGAATTCAAATAAGCAATATAAGGAGCTTTCAAATAGAGACAATCCTGAGAATGATTACTCTACTAGTATATTTAATCAAGTTACACGCTGCCATAAAACTGGTCACTTACCTTCTGCACAAATTCTGGGATGCCCAGATACAATATCTCAATATGAAAACTTTTTATTAAACGATGAAAAAAAAATTATAAAATGTATTCCAAGTAATACAAACAAAGAAGTTATCAAGAATACCTGTGAAAGGAGTCTTGAGCATAAACTTACCATTTCACACATAAAAATTTCAAAAAACAAAATGGTATCAGAAAAAATAGAGAAAACTCTGAAAAAAATAGATAAATGGGTAGGGATGATTTGGGATAACATGACGAAAAATAGTTTATATATTTTTATACTAGGAGGCGATGTAAATGCAAATGGTGCATGTTTTTTGGGGATAAAAAAACAATCAACTGGATTGTGAGATATTATAGCTTAATAATGAATATGTTATATAATAATAAGGATATAAATGTCTAAATTAAGACATGTTTAATTAAATGTGAACTTTTAATTTTGTATAGTATTTGTATTTAAGAAACATATATACAAATAAATTATTTAAATACTTTTATTTGGCTTGGTTTACTTTCAATTAATTATACAGGTTTTTTAAAAAACGGGGGTTTACCTATATAGTGCAGTAAACGGAGCGTTTAGAGTCTGAATTTTTTTACTGTGCTCCGAATTGAATGAAATTTTGGAATTAGGTTCATCTTACCCTCAAGTTCAAAACTGAAAACAATTCGGGTTGCGCCATCACCCACCGGGGGGATGACACCCCTTCTCAATTGTGTAATTACATTTTTTCAAAATAACGTCGGAAGTCGATAGAAGAACTATAAGTAGTTCCAAAATTTCATTCAATTCGGAGCACAGTAAAAAAATTCAGAGGTTTTTGCAAACCTTTTTTTCCTCTCCGTTTACTGCACTAATACTAATGTGATTATCAACGATTTATTTATGATACAGAACGTTTATTCACATTTTCGCTTTTACAAATTATATCGAAAGTAATCGTGTAATAGTTTGTGAATTATGTTTTCCCGAAATTTTGTTTTATCTTGAAGTAACTCTATTTGAAATTTGCGCGAACCATGCGCGAACATTGTTAAATGCATTAGTGACGTCATATCTACCGCCGGCACCGGGGAATCCTCCGTTTAACTGTGCGCTTTGTCATGTAGATATATATATTTATCTGCGCTTATAGGAGCGTCAATTTTATTTGTTAATTTGTAAAACTAATTTCCCTTGATAGTTTATATTCTTTATTTTACTATTATTGTGGTTAAGTAAAAAATGGGTAATTTATTTGCATCGTCAACGAAATCTCAGGAAGACCAAAGGTGTGTGTTATTCATTTGTGTATATTTTGTTTTGTTAACTGTTGAATTTCATTAATTTTTAATCTTTAGAGAAGGTAATAATTAATGACTTTATATTTATCTAAAATATGTATTTGTATATATATATATATATATATATATATATGTATATATATATTCTTTTATCTATGATAATATACATATATATATTTTGTTTTTTATTTATTGAATTAATTGTTCGAAAAGAAATATATTTCATATATATATATATATATATATATATATATATATTTCTATATATATATATATATATATATATATATATTTATTTAATTGATATTTTCTGGATTTTTTAATAAATTGATAAGAGTTTCATAACAATTGATATTCATGTGATACATCTATATTACTTAAAATATTGACTGCACATGTTTGGAAATTATAACTTTCACATTTCAATTTGATGCATTAGCTTATTACAATATTTATGAAATTATTTCATAATGTTTCAATGTTACTAAATTTGAACATTAAAATTTTCAATTTGTTTGAATTTCAGGCGACAAACTTTAGAAGAATATTGGCAAAGGTAATTATAACAACATCTTAAATTCGAATATTAAAATTCTCATTTTGTTTGTATTTTAGGCAAGATTTGGAAGATTATTGGCGAAGGTAATTATAATAAAAAAAAATTTATTTGATATGAAATATTATTTGATATTCATGTATACATATCCCTTATGAATCTATAAATAAAATTTTAATCAAATCAAATACGCACCTTAAATACATTATGCTTATTAATTATAAATGGTGCAAGTTTTTAATATTATTATACTTCTGTATTTCATAATCTTAGCTTTATAAAGCTACTTATAATTATAAATAATTATAATTATTTTTAATCTTTTCTATTTCAGACAAGAAGCAGAAAATTTATACAGACAAAGGTAATTGCTTCATCTTATATTTTAGATGCGGCTCAATTTAATAATACTTTACTATTTATTTTAGGATAGTTCAAAAGAAAAGGTAAAGGAACATGTTTCATTCTTACTGATTTCATAAAGTAATGCTTAATGCTGTACTTATATCTCAAGTTATAAGTATAGCATTAAGCATTGTTTTCTTGCCTTATAATTAATACATATATTTGGGTGTGTTCAGATCTGAACTAAGATATCAGCAAATATCTGATCTAGGATATCAACAACAAAGGTGACTATATCATACATTATTGAAATGTTTCAACTGTTGACAAGTTTCATTAAAAATTTATTGGCAGACGTTACGAGCAAGTGGATAGAGGATATGTATCACAAAAACCATGGAAATTGTCTTTGATTATTAATGTTTATAATGACGACTTACTTCCTTGGCATGACGTAAATGAAAACTATATTTATAAGAATGTGTTACTTGAAAAATTTGATGATGATTATATGACAATAAAAAAATTATTTTACAGTACAACAAAAAACCAAGGCTTAACAGTATGTATTTATATCTTTTCATAAGCTCTATTTTTCAAATGTTTTGTTAGAGCCGAAAGATTACTAAAGAATAGCTAAAGCCTGATTTTTTAATCTATATTTTCAAATTACATGTTCATAATTTTCATTTCAAGTTGTTACGTATTTCTCGGTGTCAAAATCCAACCTTATATGGTCAATATTTACTGAAAAAAGAAGAAATGAAATCAAGATATGGGAACGTAAATGTACAATATATGTTTCATGGAACTAATATTTCCAATTTGGACAACATTTTTAAATACAATTTAGATTGGAGACGTCATGGCAATAAAATAGGTAAGTAGGTATCAAAAGTATGAAAAATATTGATTTACAATTTGAAGCACATGTATTATGTTTAGGAAATAGGTACGGGAAAGGCGCATCTTTTAGTAAAATAGCTGCATATTCTAGTCATTACTGTGATAAAAAAGTAAATGTAAAAGTAATGATTGTATTTGAAGTCCTTATAAGCAATTGCTGCAATGGTGATAATAATATGATATTGCCAGATATATATGATCGTAGAACGAAACTCAGATATGATACAGCTGTAAAAGATAATAAAGGCAGTGTTGTTGTTAAGTTTTCTGATTATGAATTCTATCCAATGTTCAAATTAGAATTCAGGGGATATCCAAAAGCGATAAATAATGGGATGTAAGTAAACTTAAATTATAATTTATGTAACAATTATAATTGTGTATGTAATTACATATAAACATAATTTATATTTCAAGGTATGACTATATTATATATAAGAACATTAATATTTTTTATCTCGTATTGTTAAATTTATATGTATCCATATGTATCCACTATTGTTAAACTTATTTATAAAAAGTTTTATAAATACTTATATTATTTATATTTAATAATATAAATTATATTATAATAATATAATCAAAAAAAACTTATATCGTTTCTTATAAATTCAATATTTTTAATATATAACAATAATGCAAAATTGCAAAATTTGTAAATTTCATTATCTCAATTTATTATATTTATTTTACAATATAATAAACATAGTTTATTATTATGATTTTATGATAAACATATGTTTACTTGTTTACGAAAGTATTTTGCATTATTTAAAAAAAAAAATCTTTATGTTGAATTATATTTTATAGCCATTTTACAATATCTGATTCAATAAATGAATAAAAATAATATATTTTAATTTAACTCACCCTGGTATCAAATGGGGTTCTGGAATTTCAATAAGCTGGACAGCTGGAACGTTAGCCATATTGATATACTTAAATCAAATTAAAAATATACATAACTTAGGTAGAAAACTCTAAAATAATTTCAATTTTGACTGGCTCTATATTAAATTGTAACATATCTAAAATTTACATCAAATTTACATTATGATTGATTATGATTGTTTATTTTGTGATTTTTTTTAGTAATTATTCTATGGTTGTCATGGTAAACATTAAAAAACCAAACAAGTAGATTTAGCTACACCTTATCATATTTTGATTGAGATTGCAACTAATATAAATTATAAAAAAATAAATATTTTATATTGATAAATAATTATAAATATCTTTAAATATAAATGTTCAAATAAAATCAGAGATTTAATATACAATATGCACATTATATGTCCATTATTGGTGTATCCATTGTTTTGCATTTTTCGTGTCATTCCCAAATGTTCTTCCAAATCTGTAGAGTAGATAATGTAAAGTTAGAAATTGTTATGATATAAATATTGATAAACAAAATTATTAAATGCTGATAAATAGTTTATAATTGTCTTTGAAGTCGTATGTCAATATTATATCTGGATAGTTGCTATTTTACTTACGATCGATCTTATTAACTTTCCGAAGAAGTTTATGAATTTGCCAGAAAATTGGACTTGGTAACTTTATGCTTTTTCGGCGTATCAAGTTATTCTAAATCGTATGGGGCCAAAATTAGAAACAGTTAAAGTGAATTGAAATTTGACCTTCCGTCGACGTTTTATGAAATTTAAAAACATTTTTATGTACATCAATAAGGTCTTGGTTATTAGTTTTGCGAGGCAATCTAATTACTAATTGTCTTAGAATTTTTAAAAAAGTGCAAAATTGTCCATGCTTTCGCAATAATTCTAAATCGATTTTGAAATTTAAAAAACCGTTGAAAAGTATCATTTTGAAATTGTTCTGATTTATTCTTGGAAAAGATCGGTTGAGTCATGATTGCGTTCATTTCTTCGTAACAAAATATCGAAAAAAAATTTCGTCGTTTTTTATGAAACTTTAAAATTAAAATGCATGATCTATATACAACCATTTTAAAATGTATACGCTTACGAAAAGTGGTTGATTCACAAAAAATATTAATATATTGGAATATATGGCGGCTCATGGAATAATGGGATCAGTTTTTTTAGTAGAAAATTTTATATAAATAACTAATTTTAGTTTTTTCTTGATTACATCGATTATTAATTTGCCTTAAGACAAAATGCCATCTAGTAGTTTATTAATATATATTTTTATTGTTTAGTGAAAAACTGGATAACGTAATATTGCCTGAAAATATTTTTTTTTAAACTTTCCTAGTTTTGAATCCAGGAACAAATCCAAGGTATCCAGGAAGTAATCCAACATTATTAAGATACTTCTCGGTGGCACCTGAACTTCCATCCTCTCGAGGAATACCGGTAAGTGTCCATGCTGACCAATGGCCAGTTCGTTGAGGAAGGCCACAGTTTGAAAAATCATTCTCTAAAATAATGCCCATTCGGTGCGAGTACCCTGATCGGAAATTCATATATTTTATACATGCTTTCAGTAAAATAGTGCTGGGTAAAGTTTGTGATTACATAAAAGTCGAACGGTTGTTCTGAAATTTTTATATTTGAAGCTAACCGGAATATTGTTTTGTGACAATAAATCATATGATATTTTATACTAAATATAAAACTATTTGTGGTAAGTCGTAGTATTCCATTTTATTTTTACAATTGCGATACACACAGATTTATAGCTGCTCGTAATACTAATAAGCTTTTACTAAATTTTATGTTAGATGTACAAAAAATTCTAATATTAATGCAACTAAATTGAAGAAATAAATAAAATAATATGCATATTTTTTATCTTTTTTCACAAATAATTTAATAAATAAAATAATAAATTTCACAATTTACAACAAGTTTACAAATTGAATAATTGGCTTAAATTATACTTTGGGTTTATGTATATGTAGTTTTGAATATTTTATTTATTATATATTGACATCAACTAATTTTGCTAAAATTAAACTTCAGTTTTTGCGATAAATTGCGCAATTATAATGAATATGTGTATGATTTGAATCTAATATTTTATATATTACATATTGATATCAGCTAATTTTGCTCACTGAGGTTTTTATTAATTTTAATCAGTATTATATGTTTATTTTTATATGTTTGTTAACCAATATTAAAACATTTTAGTGAGTACAATATTTGTTTTTGTGTGATTGAAGAAAACGTTTTATTAGTTTCAGAATTTTATAGCACAATCAAAATTAGGCCAAATACAATGAGGAATTCATGTTTTGTTCTTTTCAAATGAACTATGAAATACATCCATGATACATAAGTATCAAAATTCAAAGTTGCATGTTGAGAAACACAGGTATAATGAACGCTTTATAATTGTAGCCATAACATTTCAAGTTTTGGGCATTATGTGATTTGGTTTTGCATGATAAAGAACTTGTGTATTGTTAAAACTTAAAAGATATACATATGTATATATAGATATACATGCGTATATTGTGGATTTTTTAAGTGATTTGTGTTAGTAAAATGATTGTTTACGTTTAACTATACTATTTAACAAATATTAATTTTTACTTGATACTAATTGTGAATATTATATGATTGCAGTTCAGTTTTACTTACTGTTTAACTGGTCTCTGGAAAAGGATTCTAATTGCAGCTGATTCATGGTAAGTTATTAATCAAATCAGTTATAAAAACGTTACTAATAATTTAATTGATTTATGTTTTGACGTAGAAGTTAAATAAAAATGTTTATTTTTTGTTTAGGAAAATAAATGAATTATTTTTGTCATACATACATTTATGAATTTCTTATATCTTATACATATATTTATATATATATATATATATATATATATACATAAGTTTTTTTAGGTATCCATCCAATATTTGAAAAAAAGTCTATTTTATAGTAATGCATAAAAAAAATGAAAAACAACGCACAATAATGAGAACACTAATTAATATAAAAACTGCTAGTTACTGTCTATACATATATAATTGACTAATATACAGGTACTTTTCTAGAATAAAAGATCTGTACATCTATCGCAAAGTATTCATTTTGAAAAGTTTATTGAACAGATATATAATCTACATTGAATGAATTTATAATATAAACTTTGCTTTGTTTTTTTTTTAATTTATATCATTTATATTTTCAATTAGAATAATCTCCACGCAACCAGCGTTTTCCATCTATAGAGTTTTTACCAAACGTTTTTCCAACCCTGAAAAAATATTCATTATAATTATAACATATTTTCAAAATCTTTCAAGTAATTTCACCACTCTGTCTTTATTTCAATTATATTAACCTGATATTATTTCCTGGTATGTGTCCCATATATCCAGGCAACTGGCCTAAACTCCTATGGTATATAGGATATCCATCGGCACCTCCGCCAATGAAAGAGACCCCTGCTTCTCCGATTGGACACCACTGTTCTCCTCGTCTATATTGATAATTATTTGTAAATTCTACCATGGCCATCGGTATAATATTTGGGTGGCCTTCGCTGAATTTGGGGAACTCGTACGGTTTATACTTTTCTTTACCTGTGGGATTTATGAAGGAATTATAATTTATTGTTTTGATTTTGAAAAATAACGTAGTTTATTTCGTTCAATACAAAGTAATACATTGATGGAATAAAATAAAACTAGTAGTGTATAGCATCGTGCTTTGAGACAAATTGCTAGACCTTCCGTACCATGACGAAACGATCGAAGAATATTAAATCTTTTCAAATAAATTATTATAAATTCTGAAACATTTTTTAATATTTATAAGTATAAACTGAATTACAAAGTTAAAATTATTTATTTAAAGTATATAAGTGAGCTTCAGTACTTTAGCATGAATTAAAATTAAAATCTGAATTATGAAATTTTTTTTCGGAAAACAATTGTTTCGTCAACACAAGCAGAATGTTTCTTGGACCATTCAAATCGGATACTCCGTTCCCTAAAAAACTCGATTTCTCCGTATCTCTTTGCTTCGTATCTCTGTAACAGCTGGACCTGCTCTTTCCAAAAACTATCAACACATCTCCCCATCAATATGCAAAAATGAAATCATTTTCGATTTTCGGCCCATTACTATAACTTACCCTATAGAAAGTTAATTATAGTAGATTATATTAAATTTTTATAGATTTACTTATACATTATGAATGTAAACATAACACTGAAATGCAAAATTTGAAAATTCAATAAACTTCAGATTATATTTTAGGGAAAAGTGTTTTCTGAAAATTTAATGAATCTAATTCATTTATTTTCTATTTTATTATATATTTTTGTTCAGTTCTACTTAAAAGTCTATATCTCTGCGATATGCACACAGACATTGATTTAATGTGAAATCTTTATATTTAATCATTATGATTTTATTTTAAAATTAATTTTACATATATAATTTATTAGACATTATAAGGTTATGGGATTCCATTCATCAGCATTTGTTAAAACGAACAGACTTTTCTCACGCTTGTTAGAAAGTGTAATCCGTAAATGTCCGCAGTTTTTCGTCCACGTTTTCGGGCGCACGGATCAACCGATTTGAATGGTTTAAAAAACATTCGATTCCTATTGATAGAGAGATGTGCTGATTTGCTTTTGACAAAGGCAGGTCCAGCCGTTAGGGAGATACGGAACAAAGAGTGCAGAAAATACAAATCGAATTTTTGAGAGAACGGAGTATCCGATTTGAATGATCTAAAAAGCATTTGATTTGTAATTATAGGGAGAAGAGGTGATTAAATTTTGGCAAAGGCAGGTTCAGCGGTTTTGGAGATACTGAGCTAAATGTGCGAAAAATGGCAGTTTTTGAGGAAACTAAGCGTTTGATTTGAATGATTCAAAGAACTTTCTGCTTTTTTAACAAAATAATTGCGATTCAGTGTATATAATTCTTATAAATATTAGACAATGTTACAATATTTATAATAATCTATTTACGGTACGGGAAGTTCCAGCAATTTGCCTTAAGGCACGATGCCATACACACTATTAGTTACATACCAAAATCAGGTCTTTCTCGTCCCATGAAAAATGGGTGCACATCATAAGTTGGAGGCGGTAAACATGGTTCGCAAACTGGTACCGTTGTAACCACACCCATCATTTCTGGTCTCACGACTTGCAAAGGCATTGAAAAATCGCTTCTTTGTTCCTAAAAAACAATATCATTTGAATTACGCAAAAATTGCGCAAAATAAGTACCAAAGTATGTACTTAAAAATAATTAATGGTTTATTTACAGTGTCTTGTGTTTCATATTATAAATTTATATCTATTTAAACATACTATATCAGATATCCATTTAGATTGATTAAATTCGAGAGCCTTGGGCATACGATTTTTCACGGCTTGAGTTGCTTGTATATTTTGGGATTGCATTTTTTGTAATGGTGATAATCCTTCCATAGCTTCAACACGGGCTCTTTGGCCATACCTCCCATGTTGTTTGGGTAAGAGCCCTAATAAAATACATTTATTATATATCAATTATTGTATTTAATTATTTAATTAGACTTGAAATTTTACCTTCGAATCCGGGAGCTGCATGCTTATATGGCGGATTTTGGTACATATATCTCGATCGTACCACATCGATTTCGCGTAGACATTTTCTGTACACCTTTGGTAATTTTTTCATGTATGTTAATATTTGTTACTCGTGTATGTAACTATTTATTCATTAATTTAGATTTAATTTCTTTATCAATAATTATATAATATTTATGAGGCAAAATTTTATAATGAAATCCACCTTTTATCTCGAGTGTTTTTTATATTATAAAGATCTATGATATATCTACTAGTACTGTAACACTATTATACTAGTAAACGCTTTTTCAAAAGAAATTACGTCGCCAAAAGTAATTTATACATTCTAATTACGTGCACAATCCCTAGTCCCGGGTTGGATCTCAGCCTTGGTCAGCTCGGTATCAAGGCGTGTAATATCAGGTTTTCACTTGAGATCATGATTCTCAAATATAATTTCAAGTAGAAATTGTCGTTCAGGGACATTGTTGCATAAAATTATAAATGCAAAAAATACTGTTTAAGTACTGTCATAACATAGGATTACATTATTACGTTGCATTACATTACTTATTATAATTAACTATATGAAGCCGATTGGCGTCCAACAAACAAAGAAATAAATAATCAAATAAATAAATAAATAAATAATATGTGACTGCAAGGAGAGGACAACTATAGTTGTCCAATATACTGGGTTGACTTCTAAACAATTAAATCATCCGCTACGATTACGATTACGAAACAATTAATAAATATTTTTGTATTATATAGACTGATAATAATTCAAAAGAAGACTAGTTGTTTTTATCTAATTTTCCAATAAAAAATACAGCATCAAACAATTTTATTCACTTCATTTTACAATATTTGGCAATAAAATTGCGTCATACAATTCAAATTATTTTCTTAAATAGAACAACAAAAATAAACATAGGTACTATAAATACTTACTTATTTAAACTTTTCAAAATGAGCTATTAACGAAATTTCGTTTCTTTCAATATTCTCGTCACATAACATAATAATCTAAAGAACTTCTGAATTTTTGTCATTTACGAGACCGTTAACTTTAGTTATTATTTTCGTTTTTTTCCCCCGATTATTATTTTTGTTTTTTCTTTTATAAAATACGTACTTCATTTAAATTAAATTACTTACAGTAAAGTCATCAGTTAATCTATTCGGCAAAATTAAATCTTCTCTTAGGGTAGTTGCTGGTTCTACAAGCGCTTTTTTTGTTTGTGAAGCATAGGTTGCTCCTATGCGATAAGTATATGGAGGATGATGATTCTTGAAACTTTGAAATGGAATAATATATATAAAAAAAAATTTCAATTGTAAATTAAACTAATAACAAATATTTTGAAGAATTGTTGAAGGTTTTAAAAAATGAAGCAAGACAAAATACCGGGAAAGTTACCATTATATTACTGAACCAATTTCATTCTGTTTTAGTCAATTTCTTAAAAATATTTTATACAGTTTAAATAAAAACTTAGCTTTGCCTGCTTTTCTCCACTACATGATCATACTCTTCTTAATACATGTTTTACTTTTAAACATTAATTTCAACTTTTAATTTAAAAATTATTATTTGATTTTTAGTCATCATTTACACAATAATATTTTTTCTTACCCGGGTATGTATGGTTGATCTATGGCCATCATCTTGCTAAATTAACAGATACTAATAAAATTAAAATATTACGAAAAATTTTGAATAACTTACTACTCAATATTGATTTTTGTTTTTTTTTTCTTATTTATAAATATCCATTATAAATGTCATTTTACAGTATCAATCAAATTCATAATTATTTTTAATATTTTATGTATTTATAATAAAAAATGTATACAAAGTTTGTCTTATTCTATCGATCATAGTAGTTGCCATTATAATTTCATAATAAAATAAACCCTATTATAACATTAACAATATTGTATATAAGTTATATGGCAGTGTTTGTAAAAAGTAATTAACATATATGAAAATTTATATACAAATATATTTTGATTTTATCGAATTTTCCTACTATACTATTTTTGGTTTAAGTATTTGGCTTCATTGATTATGAAAACTCTTTGATATTAAAATAGAAGTAATCGATGTTGAAATTTGCTTTGTAATTTCAATTGCTAAATAAGAATTCAAAGAGTTTTCAATTCATTATATTAACTTAAATATCTATTATTAATTAATCGAATGTAACATTACCTAACTAATTATTAGTGGTAAATGCTCATAATTTGAAATGTTGTTATATATTACTGTATTGGTAACCTATTTTGATTCTGTGTAATCATTCGATGAGGGGTAATATTGCATTTATATTTTTTTTTGTGAATGATATGCTATTTAAAGCAAACTGGTCCCACTTGAAAACCAAAAGCTTGTTGAGGCAAACCATAATCAGTTGGATAGAAATCTATTATTGGCAAAAAGTTCAGTTTTTTTGTTCTCACTTCGAACACGGTCTCACTTTTGCTCTTGCCAGTCTGAAAGAATTACAAATATTTATAAAGTAAAGTGATTTAAATCAATATTAATAATCGAAAAAAATAATAAATTTCTCACTCAGCATAGTGAATTTCAAAATTTTGGAGACAACATTACATAAGCTGTTTTGTTGAATATACTAGAACATGTAGAATAAACCATTTACATATAGATATTCTTGAATTAAGACAATTTTAATTTAGATAAAACAAATGATTAAAACGATAGTTTTTGGTATCTTTCAAATCTATTATACGGTGCTACGAAAAAAGATTACGAATATGAGACTAATAATTGCTGAATTTTATTATAAACTGGACACTTTATTAAATGTAGACTAAATTTTTTCATCGAAATATAGTCAAAAAATTATGTTATCTTACCTTGCATCCATCAATTAGGACATTAGGTCTCAGAACATTGCTTTCATAGCTTATTTCAACTTCATTTTCTCCTAGTAGTTTTAGAGCACTGTCATAACTATAAGTTTTGGTATTATACCATGCAGCACTATTGATACATGTGTATGTAAAATTCTGATAAACATCTTGGGAAAGCAATCTTAGGAATGTCATCTGGACTACACCGATTGTTTCATATGTTATCTGGAACATAATTTGTAATTTAATATTTTGTAATATATTTATCAATCCTTGATTAACTTACTCTGAATCCACCGCGTAGATTTGAATACCAATCGTCTTTTTCATTTTCCTTTCGCCATGGAATATTTGGCATATGGGAGCTGTGAACATCTGGATACACACAAGTTTCTCCCTCACCAGTCATATTGCAAAATACGTGGATTGCATCGTCTCCCATACCTAGATTTGGATCTATCCAATACCAACCTGTAATGAAATTAATTAAACTAAACTGTATATAAACCGCATATACAAAATAGAACTATCCCATAATTAATAATAAATATAATTTTATGGAGATTTTTCTTTTTGAATTTATTTGAATCAGACTCCTCGTCCGCGGAGCAAAGAATGGTAAATCCTTAAACCTTGTGTATGTGTGTATGCACGCTTGATATTACAAATTTCAAATACTTAATACGTATAAATATTTGACAGTCGTTATTGTCTAATTTACACATATGTCAAATATGATACCACTTCCTTCTAAAATGACGAACCTATGTATTCAAAATATTTCTTGCTATTTTGCAAAGTAAGGGAATCAATGATAATTTACATCCCAAAACTTCATAGTAAACAAATGACTACAAAACAGAAATGCACTGACAATTTTTTAGAAACACATATGCAACATTTCATAATAGTCTATTTTTTTAATTTAAGCCTATCTAGGGCGAAATTATTGTGCACAATTGGTATGTGATGACAGACAAGAACGAATTGATTCTAATAGATCGAACAAGTGATTTTGGCGAAGGCAACGGGGACTACACATCATGCGATCAGAAAATGGATTTGACAAACGCATATCGCGTTGTGGAAGAGCTAGAGGACTGGAAAGAACGTCAGCAAAACTATTTTAGACAAGTTTTAATAAGTAAAGAAAAGAAACATTTGGCTTTTTTAAGTGAAGAATGGGAAAAACGCAAGAAGGTTCTTCAAGGTCAGTTAGAGCAAAGTATCGACAAATGTGATGCTTTAGCTGGGCAATTACAGCAGGCTCATCAAGAAGCTATTGCCGCAGAAATAGCTAGTAGGCAAACTGAACGCAAACTGATGTCTGAATTATCAGAAGTAGAACGCTTGTATGGAGCGAAACTTGTTGCATTAAAAGAAGCATCACGCAGAGTTGAAGAAGATTTAAATCATAAAGTGAAACTAATTGATATTGATAAAAATCTGTTGGAGGATCGACTCGAAGTACTAAAAAAAGATAATGCTGATTTAACCCAACAATATGAGCAGTTGGGGAATAAAATTGCAGAAGTTAAGAAAAATTCTTTAAAAAAGGATCAGGTGAGAAGCTTACTTAAGCAACTTCGGTCGTGCGAAGATAAATTAAACAGTGTAATTGAATCTAAAGAATATTTTAAAGATGAATGGGCAAAAGCTGCTCGAAAAGTTCATCATTACAAAACGGAGCATCACGAAAATCTTAGAAATCGTATCAAAATGTATAAAAACCAAATTGATAATGTGAACGGTGGCGATTTATCGGGTATTTACAACAGCTTAAAAAAAGAATAATGAACGTCGACGTAGAAGAAGATGCCATGTCGGAACCGATATTAACACAGCGTTCACAGCCCAATCTCGGAGAAGAAAATAATAATATTAGATTTAATTCATTCAGTTATAGTAATTTTACAACAAACTCTGCAAGACATTCTTCTAGCGGACACGATTTTGCTGCTGATTTAAAACGTTTGTCTGCTTCTCGTACATTCAGCTCGAGTTCAACTAGCACTTCAAGCAGCCGAAGCACGAATATATTTTCCACTTTTGACATGCCTTTGCTGACAGATGTAAATTGGTCATCTAATCCACTACATAATCATACACAATCTGAACATTCATTACATGCTATATCTCAAGGTCAGTTTAAATTCAAAAATCACTTTTCTGATAATGATATTTTAAAATAACGCTTTTTTAGTGCATAATTTGAAATTTTTGTCAACGTGTCATGTTCTTATTTGTGAATTGCTTTTGTGTTTCTTTAATAAAATGTTTTCATAACAAAGCATACTAAATTTTAATCAAATAAGATATATGAATAATATTATTTTAACTCATAGAGTTTTATAAGTTATATTATTTTTCTCACCGTCCTTGAATTGTGGATGCCCATAGTATAAATCTTTACATGTTCTAACTGGATTTTCTTTGGTACCCAATGGTTTTCTTATTCTGTCGAGCTCTTGCCTCATTGCATATATAGAACTATACATGTCTAAAAATTTCGGGCCAATATCTTCTTTTCTTTTAGCTTTTTGCTTCGATTTTGTTTCCGAATCTGATTCAGTAGTTGTAGTATCAGATTCCATGTCTTCTTTCAACTCCTCCATGAATTTTTCACTAAATTTTCAATTTTTTGTTTTAGATAAATTATGTTATTGAACAAATATATTTGAAAGTTTTGTATACTTACATATCTCTCTTTTGCAATCTGTGAGCATTATGCATATTTATTAATTCTTCTCTCTGGAATAAAAGTTCTGGAGGTAGCAATGGCATTTCGGCTGGAGGGCCTGGTGGGCCAGGTTGACCCGCAGGGCCTGGCTCACCTTTTGTACCACCGACACCTTCAGAACCTTTTGGACCGGGCGGACCTTCTGGCCCGGGTGGTCCTTGAAGTCCATCGCTGCCTTTTACTCCTATAGGCCCTACTGGACCCTAACCACATCAAATATATATTTTAAGATAACCAAAAAAATAAAAACATTATATAATAAATAAATAATAAACAAACGAGTATTGAAATAAGTAGTAGTTTCTTATGCATAGATATTAGATATATATAAATTAATGTGGGTGTACTAAAACTAACCGTATCTCCTTTCTTCCCTTCTGGGCCTGGTGGTCCTTTTACTCCTCGATCACCTTTTTCACCTTGATCTCCTTTGGCTCCTAATCCACCTAGTTCTCCGCGGTGACCTTTTGGTCCACGTCTACCTCGTTCACCTTTTGGACCTGGTGCTCCCGTTTCGCCAGCTTTTCCTGGTTGACCAACTTCTCCTGATTTACCAGGAGGTCCAACATCTCCCTTTATTTAGGCATTAGTATAAATACACATTAATCAAATTCCTTATACGTACGTTGACAATATATTAGGATATAAAATAAAAATAAATAAAATTATAAATTATTACCGCTGGTCCAGGCGACCCTCGCATTCCAGGTAAACCTGGTGGGCCGGGAATACCATCTGGTCCAGGTAAACCTGGTTCACCTGGTGGACCATTTAAACCTCTGTCTCCCTTTTCTCCTGTGGGTCCAGTACTACCCTGCAAGCCCGCTGGCCCTTCAGGACCCTAAACAATAACATGACTGTATTAAAAAAAATAATAAAGCAATAAAAACTAATAAAAAAAAATAAGTGAATGGAAAATGTGCTTTGTAATTCTATGGATCATATTCTTACTGGCTTTCCAGGAAGTCCGGGTTCTCCTTGTTTTCCGATTGGTCCGGTATCACCTGGAGGTCCAGGCTGTCCAGGTGTTCCATCAGTGCCGTCCTTCCCAGCGTCACCTAAGATAAATAAGAATATTAATATTTGAAACTGTCAATATTATATCGTTGCTAAATTTTTACCTTTTGGGCCTTGTAATCCTGGTTCACCTGTGTTGCCAGGAAAACCTGGAGGACCTGCCGATCCTTTTGGACCCTCTGGACCAATAGATCCTCGGCCACCACGTGGGCCTGGAGAACCTTGTTTGCCTTCATCTCCCTTTGGACCTGGTGCTCCGCGCTCACCCTATTACAGATGATTTTTTTAGATATTGTTACATATACACACATGTGTTATATATACAAATATACATACTCGTATATACATAAATACTCAATAATTATTCTGAAACTTATTATACCTCTTTACCATCTGGTCCAATAGGGCCAGGTGGTCCTGGTGCTCCTGGTTCTCCACGCAAACCTTGTGGTCCTTCAGGTCCTGTTGGTCCTGGCGGCCCTTCAGTTCCTTTACTACCTCTTCTTCCATGGTCTCCCGGGCTACCAGTAGGTCCCACAGGACCTATTTATAAAATTTGTGTTTTTTATGCTGAACTTCTTTTTTTTACCAAAAGCAGTAATAACTATTCTATTCTTTTAATATAATTAACTGTTAAAATAAAATTGATTTTGAGATTACTGCAAAAATTGTATGTCCGCAAATTATTCTTCACCTTTTGGTCCGACGTCACCAATCTCTCCTTTGCTACCAGCTGGTCCTGGTAAACCTTGCGGTCCTGCAGGACCTGCTGGTCCAGTTGCTCCAGCTGGTCCATCAGCTCCTTTATTTCCTTGTCGACCCATTTCACCTGGTGATCCTCTTTCTCCTTGTGGTCCTATTGGTCCGGGTTCTCCTCGTAAACCTTGCGGGCCTGGCGACCCGGCTGGTCCCTAATTTTATTAAATTTATTATTTAAAAATAAATAATGATTTAGATAGATACTATGAATAAATAATAATAATAGTTAATGAAATACATTAAATCATATTTTAAGAATCTATACCTGGATATTTTATGTACAATAACATATTATGTTAGTATCTGCATTAAATGTGTTTATGACACAATAACAATTATTTATTTTTATGCTTTTTTGTCTTTTATGCTTTTTTTGACTAAAAAGGTTGCGGCATTTGTATGATATCACTGTGTAAAAGTATTTTGTTTCAGATTTTTAATTATCAATATTTATGCATTTCATTCACCTTTATAATCGCAAAATGAAACATTTGATGGAATTAAAACATCACTTCGTATTACAAAAATTTTGGTAAAGATTGCGTAACGCACAGATAATTGAAGCATATTATGAAATCAAGTATATATATTATTCATTTATTAAATTCATCTATTATATATGGTACACTGCATACATATAAGAATTACGATAATATTTACCTCCTCCCCTCGCACACCTTTAAAACCTTTTTCTCCGGGCGGTCCAACATCGCCTTTGTCACCATCTTCACCTGGTGCACCGACTGGACCAGGTGGACCTGGCAAACCACGTAATCCAGGCAAGCCGTCTCTGCCAATTGGGCCTATATTGTGAAAAGTTTCAAACTAGTATAGAGATAGATATTATCCTCATATCTTATTGAAATAGTATTTCAAATAGAAAAAGTAATAAATTGCTATAACTTTTTTCACTTGCCTGGAGGTCCTGATTCGCCTCTTTCGCCTTTAACACCATGACTACCAGGCGATCCTTGTGGACCCTTTCTTCCTTCCGGACCTATAGGACCTTCTTTTCCAGGTTCTCCTTGTTGTCCTTTATCACCAGTAGGTCCGGCGGGGCCTGGAGGACCAGTTTCACCTTTCAATCCTGGCATTCCCTAAGAAAAATATTTTTAATTTTTTGAGGGATGCAAAAATTAATTTGATCAACTATTCAATAACATAAAAAAGTAGATATACAAATATTTTTTTAACGCAAATCTGACTATTTTTGATAAAACTACTTCTTAAATATTGGACATTTTTACTAACTGTTAACCCAATGAGTCCTCGTTCTCCTGGAAATCCTGGTAAACCAGGTCCACCAGGTGGTCCCTCTTTTCCTGGCGGTCCTGCGGCACCAGGCGGTCCTTCTTTACCGGCATCTCCCGGTGTACCTGCTTCTCCAGGTAAACCAGGATGGCCTGGAGCTCCCGGTTCACCGACAGGTCCAGGTTCACCAATGGGACCAGGTGGTCCAACCACACCCGGAGCTCCTGGTGGTCCTGCCGCTCCTGTGTCACCCTTGTGAAAATAATAATTTCAATATCAAACTGTCTCAAATAAGTGCATAAATTACAGTAAAAGTTTTAAGTTTACCGGTGGCCCTCTTTCACCAGAGGCGCCTGGTAAGCCATCTTTTCCATTACTGCCTGGAGAACCAACTGGACCAGAAAATCCACGTGATCCTTCAGCGCCTTGTGGCCCAACATCTCCTTGAGGACCAGGTGGTCCTGGTTGACCAGTGTCTCCTTTAGGTCCAGGAGTGCCTTCTTGACCACGTCTACCTCGCGATCCTCGGAAACCCTTCATAGTAAATATTTTAATTATTTTGTAATAAATTTTTTATTTTTTATATTTTATAAATTTATTATTTTGCTTAATAATGAAATACTATTGCGACTGGTTGATAAATCTATGAAATACTGCTGGTTAAATAACTTCGTAAAATTCGATAAATACATAGTCTAAACTAATTAATAGAAGTTTAAAAAATATGATTATGCTTTATTGAATGTAATTTAACTTACCCTTGGCCCGATTTCACCCCTTTCACCTGCTACCCCTGGATTACCCTGTTAGAAAAAATTATTGGAAATAAAAAAATATTTTTTTAAATATTTTAAACAAAGATGGTTCTTACCCTATCTCCTTTATCACCGGGATTTCCACTCTTCCCAGTTGATCCTTTGTCACCTTTGTCTCCAGGAGCTCCAGGATAACCTGCAAAACCTTGAATTCCGATTTTACCCTTTTCACCAACCGGTCCGATTGCACCAGCTTCCCCTCGAGGACCATCGAATCCCTAGAGGCGTATTAGATATCACTTGGAGTTTAAAAAATATTAAAGTCATAACTAAAAAAATTTTTTCAGTATTTGTAGTTTTAGAATTGAATAGAATAGATTTGTAGTGGTAGTTATAATTTTTTAAGATTGCGGAAAATTTTATATTTCGTGTGGGAAATGAAAAATTAGTTTTATACTTTTGTAAAGCTGCGCTCTATATTCACCATACATATCATTGCTTAATAATTTAATTTACTTCATACATATTCACTCAATAGATTAGTGTAGATTAGAATCATAATTTTGTAATACCTTAGGACCTTCAGGACCCTCAATTCCAGCCATACCGGGCGGACCAGCCACACCTCTTTCACCTTGTAATCCGAGATCACCCTTCTCCCCATCAGCACCTGTTAGACAATATGTTATAATTTGTATGTATTATTTATTATTCCATTTTTTTGTCTATCATGTTCCACCTCTATCTCCCTTATCTCCCTTTTCCCCAGGAGCGCCTCTAAATCCATCATCTCCCTTGGGTCCACGAGCTCCAGGGAATCCAGGTGCGCCCTATTTAACACATTATTTTTTATAGTTTTTAAATATAATTAATTTTGATTCTGAAAAAATAATCATTCGGTTTATATGCCTTATATAAATAACTTTTAATTATTTACCTGATGTCCCTGTGGACCTATTTCACCTTTGCTGCCTGGTACCCCGGCATTACCTGGATGTCCAGGTGACCCGTCCGCTCCAGGAAGACCTGGCATACCCGGCTTTCCCGGTGGACCCTAATTTATAAAAATTAATCAATTTATTGAAAATCCATTCGAACTAGCTTACTCAAAGTTTAACTATATACATCAATTTTTAATATTTTTATCGAATATTTCATAAAATTTCAATTTATTGTTTTCTCGTACTGGAATTCCTGTTGGTCCTAGTAGGCCTTGCGGGCCTGGTGGTCCTACGGCCCCCGGGGGTCCAGTTTGACCTGGAGCACCAACTTGGCCTGGAGGTCCGGCATTGCCTTTGGCTCCTACAGGTCCTTCGCTTCCTGGAACACCTGGGTTACCTGGCAAGCCTGGAAAACCTCTTGGGCCAACAAAACCTCGAGGACCCTGTAAAGATAGTTTGAATAATTTTTTATTATCGATCTCATAAAGTGTATATAACGTTTAACTAGCTGTAAGTGGAATTCTGTCTTAAGGCAATTAGGGCATCGTGCCTTAAGGCAAATTGCTGGAACTTCCCGTACCAAAAATTATTATTTTTTTTAAAAACGATTAAAATTGAAAAATTGAAAAAAAATTATTTCGAAAAAATAAGATTTTTGAAAAACTATAAATTGGACAAAAAATTACTTTTTTTGAAAAAAAATTTTTTTTGAAAAAAAATTTTTTTTTAAAAAAAATTTTTTAAAAAAAAATTTAAAAAAAAAATTTTTTTTTTAATTTTTTTTTTTTTTATAATGTTTTCTTTATTTTGACATATTTTGGAAGATCTGAACTTGTTTTTCAGAGCAATCGTATGCTTTAACTGCATAGAGACGAAATATAAAGCGCGTAAGCGCGGCGTCGCTGTCTAACGGGTAAACATTGATACGGAACCCATAGGAAAATAAACAAAATGTATACTTATTGTTAAAATCTCTATAAAATATCTGAAAATTTGATGTTTATATGTCTAATGATCATTTTTGACCGCCAAATGGCATTTTTTTTTACATTTTTCGTTATATCTCCGAAACCGCTAGACCTGCCTTTATGAAAATTTGATCAATTCTTTATCTTGTCAATACAAGTAAAATGTTTTTTGAATTATTAAAATCGGACGCTCCGTTCTCTTAAAAACTGAGTTACCGTTTTCGGCACTTTTTGCCCCGTATCTCCGGAACGGCTAGACCTGCCTTCGCCAAAAACTAATCAGCACGTCTCCTTATCAATACGAATCGAATGTTTTTTGAATTATTCAAATCGGTTGATCCGTGTTCCCGAAATCGTCGACGAAAATTTGTATCCGCACATACATACACACACGCACACACACACACACACACACACACACACACACACACACACACACACACACACACACACATACATCCATTTTTTCTAAGGTATGCCAAAATATTCAGAAACCTCTGAAACGTAAAGATATATAAAAATTTTCATTTTCGATTTTTTTGCGATTACTATAACTTACCCTACGGGAAGTTAAAAATATCTTGTAATGCAGGTTGTTTTTTGTTATTAACATAGTTGCGCAATAAATTTAAATAATTATTAAATACACTCACACAAAATACATTAAAATGTGCGCATGGGTCAACTGCGGTAACAAAAGTATTTTTGATTATTATATCGGATCAACAATTTAATTTGCTTTATAGATGCAAATATTTGTTACATTGTAAAAGTAATAATTGAAAATATATTGTAGCAATACTAATTAAAAATACTTTCATTAGTATAATTAATAAACTTGGATATATAATACTTTGGATAGAAAGCTTTTGCAGTTGAATTTAACGCATACGAGAGTTTATTGCATTTGTATTATTGACTTTTATTGATCAATAAAACTTAGATCAAATATACATATACGTGAATATACATTAATCACAGAACAGTTCTACATCAAATTTTGTAAATATCATTTTTTACTTCTTTATTTCAAAATTGTTCTAATTTTTGTTTCTAAATATGTTTATGAATTAATTATAACATTTGTAAATGTTTGTTTCATGATGAAGTACTTATATAACATAGTTAATTTGAAAATGATTTGAAATCACATTATTTTTCATAATTACCAGTTCTCCTGGTAGACCTGGCATACCAATAGGACCTTCTTCGCCCTGCATTCCTTCATGTCCAGGAAGACCTTGCTCACCGGGCGCACCCTGTGCACCTCTTTCGCCCTTATCACCAGGCAGTCCTTTTAAATAAAAATGAAATATTTTAAAATAACTTTCAATTTGTGCGTTTCAATAAAAATTCTAAAACGTATTTAAATTGATAAATATTGTTTACATTTATAAAGAAATTTACGTTTAGTCCTTATTTTATATAATACCGTCATTACATAACAAATTTAATTTTGTCAATATCAATATAAGATAACTTTTTATTAGATATAAGTTGCTCGGAAATAATTTTAGTTACTTTATCATATTTTATGTAAAAAATTTATTTTCTATATTTAGCATAATAGAGTTTTGAATGCACATTTACGTGAATCAATTTCAATAAATATTGATATACAGCTTCGATGCCCTTTTCTACTTCACAATAAGCAACTGATTGGCAGTTTCTCGTATACATGATGGTGGTAATCATATTCCAATCACTATAGATATCAAATGTCACTGAATTCAATAGTATATAAAATAGTTTATATTTGAACTTGAATAAATTCCCTCTCAGAATATTTAATGAAAAAAATATGAAATGTTAAGATATCCATATTTTTACTGCTTCTGCTAAAGTTTTCTGACTATGCCAATGACCTCAGTGGCTTTAATGCCGCAATTAAGGCACTTATTAAAAGAGAAGCTACTAGGATGATTTAAAAAATTCTACTCTTTCAATATTAAAATTTCTTGCATACCCGGTATTCCAATAGGCCCTTGTTCTCCTTTAACTCCTGGAGGACCTGTAGCCCCACGTTCCCCATCTCGGCCTGGTCGACCTCTTCTACCTTCCCGGCCAGTATTTCCAAGTTGACCTCTTGGACCTCTCGGCCCCTAGAATTAAAAATAAAATTGACGATTTATATGTAAAATTATTCATAATAGATATAAGAAAAAATCATTGATTGCTCGAATTATTATTCACTACATAAGTCATATTTTGAGTAGCTTATATTTGTATGTACTGTACATGTAAGAGTGTATATATAATACAAAACGTTTGTTTGGTTTCCCCCAACGACTAATAATCATATAATTTCTTTAAAATCTTTCAATTTCTTTTCAAATTGTGAGTTCTTTGTGCAGTATTTTTTATAAAGGCTTCGTAATAATTTCTGTGAGGTTATTAAGTTATTGTCAGATACAACCCTTACAATTGGTTGAGTAACAAAAACTTGAATCTGCGATTGATTTCTTTGAAGATGGATTGCTGTCATTTTATAAATTTTGTTAAAAGATACCTTAAAGGTCATGTAATATATATTTTTTTAATAAAAATATTCTGTTGTAAAGTATTTTTTTTATTCATGTATTGTAGTAGCTAAACTTATGATTAATATGCAATCTATACTATTATAAAATTAAATATAATTACTACTTAAAATTCAAAAGCCATGTCATTTCAGTGCAAAATTTACTTATGGCACCAATCATTGGAATGCAATTGAAAAGTAATTTAACTAAGAACATTTAAATAATTGTACATGAATTAGTAAGTAATGATTATTTTCCAAAATGATAAAAATGTTACAATTTTAATATTTAAAATTATATTCTACGTCTTTTGTTTCAAATTTTTGAAGCATTTTTATACTTATTTCATATACGTATTTCATAATTACATATAATAAAATAATTTATTTATAGTAAATAATTGGTATTATATTAATTAATATAATCCATATCATAATATAATAATATTAATTTTGTTTAGTTATTTTCTTAAAAATTTTACCGTTTCTCCAATATCTCCAGGTTCTCCTTTTATTCCGGCAGGTCCTGGTGGACCTTCTGGACCTGGTATGCCAGTTAATCCCATTGGTCCTTGTACGCCTCTCATCGCCATCTAATAAATTTTATCTTAATTATTTGAAATTTCACCGAACAAAAAATATTTATTTTGTATATATGAAAGGAAATGACGCCTCGTTTTTTTAATGTTAAAAGATAAAATAATTCAAAATCAATCATAATTATAATAAAATAAATTACCATATGTTGAGACAACATCTGTCTGAATGCTTCAGCTTGCCCATCTGGTTGCCCACCTGGCCCTTTATCGTTACCTTGCTGGTTTAACTGAAAATAATAAATTATATAAATAAGTAATTTTTATGGAGTGTAAAATATTAATAAATAGTACCGGAATCATAAATATATGTCCTGGAGCTCCTGGAAATCCTTGCATGCCACTGATACCATCGCGGCCTTTATCTCCTTTAGGTCCTGGAGGGCCTGGTACTCCTGGTAAACCGGTGTATCCTCTGGGGCCTGGGGGTCCTCGCAATGGATTATAATTATAACTGTAACCTCTGCCTGCTGAGGCTGAAGCATCTATCTCCGGTTCCCACTAGAAGTGTGGTATAAAAACTTAATATAGAATATACCTCAATACAAAAATATTTCATCATTGCTAAATCGAAATTAAAATTTGAGTACAATAAATACATTATACTTATTTATATATATATATATATATATATATATATATATATATATATAAGAAACCTATATAAGAAACGTCGTGTAACGGATAACACATAATGCTTATATAGGTTTCCATATTTTAGATTTTAAATTTATAACACACTGATGATGAGACAAACCTAGTCTCGAAACGTTTGTGAAATTATTATTTAATAAATTAGTGCAAAAAAAAAGTGTTGTTTGTTCATATTTCAAATATATATATATATATAAGTGTGCGTGTGTGTGTGTAAAAAAAATTAATATGGTTATAAAATGATGGCATAATGTAATATTGACGTTAAAAGTAATGTGTTTTAAGAAAATTCTTAATATGAAAAATATATGCAGCGAACAAACTTTTTATTTTAATGTACTTTTCCGTTTCATTGACATTTATATGATGTATTATGACAAAGTATTCATATTACAGGTGTTTTTCCTATACAAACATGAAATACAGATAAGACAATAGTCACTTAGTTATAAGTATAAGAAATTCGATACATTTTTACGATCACCTGTGTAAAATAGACTAATATATATATATATATATATATATATATATATATATATCATTATTTATATTTTTAGTTTTAATTTTCTAAATATTTATATCAAATTTGGACTTAAAAACGATTCACTCTTATTATACTGTTAATATTTAGAAATATTCTGAAAAAATAAATCAAGTTTCTACGTTTTACCTTATGAGTATCGAAATTATCTTATCATAATCCAAAAAATATGATCAATAGTTTACAGATAATTTATGTAATTAATTCATACCGGTGTTTCAGTAGCAGGTTCCACTTCTGGAGTTTTCTCAGTTTCTTCTCCGTGTTCTGGCTTTTCTGGTGGTCTTGGAGTTACCAAATTTTCCGGTGGCGTTTCCAATTTCTCTTCGGGTTGTGGACTTTCTATAGTTTCTGGTTCTGGAGTTCTTGGAGGTTCTGTAGGTTTTGGTGGTTCTGGAGTAGTAGGAGCTTCTGTTGTAGTTGGATAGTATGTTGGATAATAAGGCGTTCTGTCAGGATAAGGAGTTGGGTAATAAGGCGTCCGCGTTGGGGGCGGATAGGGTTGGTACGGTGGTCTTCTAGTACCTTAAATATTAAACACGAATTAAATCATGATGCATATACTATATAATTATTTCGTTACTTACTTTCGTATTCTCGTCTTCTGTCAGCTTCCAATTGCCTTTCTGTGGGTCTGGATCGTGGAGGCTGTGGTCTTTTTCGTTCCCTGCTGTCTGGAGGTCGTCGCCGACGGGTATCTTGACCTCTGAAGGCTGCGCTTGCATTTCCCAACTCATCTTCCTCTTCGGCATTTTCATCATAATCATCTGTTCCTTCCTCATAATCTTCATATGATGTCTCTTCGCTGTTTTCACCTTCTGTTCTATTATAGTGACGGACTATACTATGATTATAAGTAGACTGACTTGTGTGTTGTCCACCGTATGTCCCTTAAAAGAAAATTCATAAAATTTAACAATAAGAGTTATTTTAAATAGCAAATTTATATAATTTCTTATATGAATGAATAATATTATTATTTCAAATAATGTTTATACAACTTAATTGTTTCCAAGTTCATTACAAATCATAATACACCTATTATAGTTTGAAATACACCTATTTGAAATACACCTATTCATAAATTGAAATTTATGAAACTACAATGCATAATAAATTAAAAAACTTTTGAAATTAAAATTTTGTATTGCAGTTTTGTATTTAATTTTGAATTGCTAATGAATATTACCTTCGATAAGTCCACTAGGGGTGGAGCTGTACACAGTGACAACTCCATGACCAGAGCTACTACCTTCAACTACAGAAAATCCACCCCTGTTGTATTTCATTTCTTCTTCAACGGCTTCTGAATAATATAGAAAATTTTATTAAAAATAAGTTAGCGATGCAATTATTGAAAGTGAATAAAACATATTTTAAAAAATATTGTCAAGCAAAACTGAAGTCGCATGTATTGTTATTTAAATGAAATTGTGTAAATTTAATGTTTTATATTTAAATATAAGTGTTTAAAATAGTAAAAAACTGTTTCTTATAGTTAAATATAAGTGTATAAAATAGTGAGAAACCTTTTCTTCTTTGCTCTTCATAACTCGTTTGTGCCGATACTCTGGATCTATCATAACTGCTCGACGAAGAACCTAAAGTTAAACAATAATTAAATATTACTTTGTTTAATAAAATTCTTCAAAATATTTTCCAAATTTTGCAATTTGGTATAAATTAAAAAGAACTCACATTCACGTAAGTGTATAAGAATATATCTATATAAGAAAGAATATTAGCTTGTAAATATGAAAAAATTACACTGTTTGCACTATTTATTAAATATTACTATTACAAAAGTTTCAAGACTAAGTTTTTTCTTATTTTCAGTAAAAATATAAATTTATTAAAAATATTACTACAAAAGTGTTATGTATGGAGCATAGCTCTGTACGGATCAGAGATATGGACTCTAAGGAAGACCGGCAAAAGCTATCTGGAGAGTTTTGAAATGTAGTGTTGAAGATGAAGGAAAAAGATACAGTTGACAGATAAAATAATAAATAAAGAAGTTAATGAGCACAATCATTAGGAGGAAAAGAAACGAGATCGGACCAAATCTGCAAACAGTGTGCCTTCTACATGACGTCGTCGAAGTTCAATATAGAAGAACCGGGAAGAAGAAGAATGCGGATGATTGATGACTTACGCGACAAGAGAAAAATAACAGGGAACTGAAAACCGAAACACAAGACCAGGAAGCATGATGTTTGGAGAAAAAAATTTAATAGAGTGTAAAAAAGTGATTAATGGTAATGGGAATAATAAATAAAGCAGGGAAAGGGAATCATTGATTTATGTTGCTCATTGATCTTGTTATCATTGATTTATGTCATCGATCTGTTTTCAGACAGACTGCTATTTACTATTATTTATTATGTGACTTAATAAAATTTATATCTCAAAAATCGAATATCACTAACACTAAACTCAGCTCAAATTAATTCAGATTTTTTTAAAAATTGTGTGATACATCAGCACTAGATTTACGGATCGACCCAATTTGACTCGACCCGACTTTTGCCCCAATTTGACTCGATTTCAATTAACCTATTTTTTTTTTAATTCCATTTTATTATATGAGCCAAATTGGCTCACTTCAGCAAAAATAGGCATATAATCAACATTCGTAATTCTAGTGTTAAATTCCAAATTTAATTCACAATACCTCTTGAATGAGATGAAGCACTCGATTCCCCACTAATCGTAGCCGCGCCACCCGTCTGAGTAAAAGTGTAGCTATTCAGTGCTACGTTCGAACAAGGCATTGCGTAGCGGGTACAAACTTCATAAGCGGCCGCCGGGTTATCTATTATCAGCAAAAGTTCTACTTCGCCCTGAAAGTAATTTAAATTACTTTAACTATAGAAATTTATGAAAACATATTAATTAAATTTTGATTAAATTCTTTGTTTTTGTCACCTTGAATTTCTATATGTATATTTAATTATATATAGGTACATAACGAGTTATTATAACTAAGCTCTTCCACATTTTTAATAATCGCTTGAACCATTTGCTAATATGTTTTCACATGTATCAGTTACGTTTTTCCCACTCGCTTTGAGTTGACATACACTTTAAAACAATATTGCATTAATGATCTATAAACTACTTTTCATAATTAAAAGTACGAATCAGCAACGTTATATAATAACTAGACTTGTTTGAATTTTCATATTTAATGACATAATTAAATATGCTTATATTTTATTAATTAATAAAATGGAAAATGACCGTTGTAAATACCATCCATAATGCCGTTAACAAAAACTGTGGTGATACATAAGCATATTAAAATGATCTTTCAAACGTTTGTACGCATTATTTTGAATATTATGTCTGGTTCGATTATTAATAATTTTAGCACAATTATTGAATTTCAGTTTTATTCGTATTGTGAAGTGTAGGTTTCAATTATGATTGCGTAATTAGATATTTTAGTAATGAAAAGATTTAATAATTGGAATTGATGTTATTGGATTATGCGTCTATTTTGTTATATAATAGGTGTGCCCAAAAGATTCTAAATCTACACGCTGCTTTTTAAACTTGCATTTTGAATTTTTTTTATTTAATTTATTTTCCAATCTGATAGATTAAACATTGAGCATAGTTTATTGCTAACGATGAAAATTGTTAAAATTATGCAAAAAAGTAAAAAAATAATATATAAAGTTATAATTTGAAAAAATAGATACTCCCAAAAAAGAATCTATTAAGAGTATAATATAATATCAAAACAAAAGGAAAAAAATACAAAAATAAAAAAAATAAAAATAATATAAAAGTTCCTAAGTGAAAATAATAGATAATTTTTGCTTTATTTCGGTGGTCTAAGCTTTCGAGGCTAATTCATTTGGATGGACATCGATTCTGCGCCCTAAAAATTGTTTTGTTTTTTTTATTATATTATAAAATAATTAATTTTTGAGGCAACTTTATAACTCCAGTTGCTCTTACTGCTTTAGGTAATCATGGATTAAACATAAATTAAATTATTTAGAGCAAATTTTTACTTACCGTAAAATATCCTTCTCCTTCCAATTCCTGTCCAACCAGAACAATACCGGCTGTATTTAGTCCTTCATTACTTTTTCGTATCAGACGTCTTGTTATTTGTCTTCCGCAGTCTAAAATCAGCGTTACTGAATCACCTTTGAGACTAAAGCCCATACGATGCCATCTAAATTATCATAAACAATAAAATTAATAAGTTTTTATAATGATGAAACCTTAAGTTCGTATAAATACAGTCGGCCAAGTAAGAGCGTGGCCGTGTTAATTTATAAAAATAATTATTTTATGAAACTTTAATATTTATATATGTATTGTATACATTACAAGCAATGATGCAATTTGGTCAATATGGCAATTGGCTAGCATCTCCGACGCATGCTTTTTACTAATTTAACGGATTATTCTAGTCTGACGGCTCGTATTTTAATTTAACGGCTCGATGAGGGTAGTATGTGCTCATATAGAACATTCATCAGTAAAAATGACTTTTTCAAATCTCTATCAATATTTTCATGTGCCCAAGCGGAAAAGGAGCGCACGTTTTTCAGTCGTCAGGGGCTTCCCCATTGTGTTGCGCCATTTCAGATCATGAATACGAAGAAAGGTTCAGATAGTTCTGTAGATATTATTATAGATATTTCTAAACATTTTGCCATTAATTTTGCTCGTCCTTGCTGCAGTGTTAAAGCAGGATTCCACAAAAACACATAGACTGTTCTTTTTTCTTCTTTTTATTAGAACCACGTTCTGATAAATCATCGACATTTTTAGCAACTTTATATAGGTGTATCCAATTCTGTACAAATGACTTCAACTTTCTCGTATATTTAGCAACAGCTGATTGCGACATTTGGGGACCTTTTGGGTGGATGCAAAAGGGCGCAGCCTGGTAACGCGACGCGTAACTTAGCACTCATGGCGTTTAACGTGATTTTTTCTCAAAAGATCAACGACAACTAAACCTTTGTTGACAATGCATCAAGGACAAAGCTTCATTTTAACGGCTCACGAAAGAATTAGACCAAAATCTTTCATTAACTGTCGTTAAAGTCGGCCGCGCTCTTACTTGACCGACTGTACATATAATAAAATGCACAGGGTTGAGCAAAACTTATTGTTAGAGCTCCGCAGTTAATAAAGCCCATCACCATTATCTCAAAAGTAAGTGAAGTGAGGTTTTTCTTAACCATAGTATTAAAATATCAGAAATATGGTAATCAGGAAAAGTTGTATTTGTCATCACAAAAACCGAAATTAGTTTGCACAAAATATTGGCTCAAAGTCAAATTCGACCCTTGTGCCACGCCCTATTCTATATGTTAAACTTGACACACAACTATTCTATATTTATAATATTAACTGAGTATTTATTTATGATGATTTATAAGAGACAATAGCAACCAACAGGATTACTTTTCTAATAAAAATTATAATTTTATTTACTTACTGTCCATCATCAATATTGACATCAAAAGATACCAGATTGTCATCCGGGTCTTCGGGTTCTTCATCCGCGTAGTACAGCGAAATATCTGTTCCAATTGACACTGATAATTGTTCTTCGCCGCTTTCTCCGTAAACCGTAAAAATTGCTTCTTGTCCTGCTCCTCTGGCAGCTTTGGCGGTTACCACTATTGAAAAATCAGTCGGGAACGTAGAAGAAAATAGAAGGCCAGCTTCTGCGGTCAGAACGGCGGACGAGAGGAAATTATATGCACCGCCGCGTTCGCCGCATGCTCCGGCCGTCGCAACCACTCCCACGGGAAGATCTCGTACTCGGGTTAACTCCAAGAGATCTGCCATACTGGAATCTAAAAATATTAAAAAATATATGTATACATATATAGATACATAATTACATAGATAGATACATAGATACATAGATAGATACATATATAGATAACATTACTTTCTCCCTAAATGTTTATTAAATTAAAATTTGAATGGGCAACATTTAATATTACTCCTTTTTTCTCCCTTTTTTCTAATGAAATGATTTTAGAATGTTCATTAAGTTTTTTATCTATTTTTAATTCTGCTCTAATTTATTTTTTAGATTTTTTTCTTCTATTAATAATGATCAGAACATTAATTAAATTTTATAAGCTATTTTGGTTTATATTTATTAAATATAATTAGAGATAGTATTTACCCCACTGGGTATTCACTATTAGATACTATTTATTAGATCAAGGTAATAGACCATGATATTTTAAGTTTTTTTAATTCTGGTTTAAGGAGCAGCGGAGCACCCGAGTGATTTTGGCAATTTTGTAAGTTGTGGTGATGATTAGTGAATCTTGTATTTATAAAGTCTTCAATACATAACACATTAAGATCATCATGCAGAAATTTATTGCTCGCGTATCAAGGTGCACCTGTCATTATTTTTAATAGTTTTGATTAGGTTCGCTGCACCAATGCCACCTTAGATTTGCTGAAGCATCCCCAAAGGCTTTTTCTTATAACTAGTTAGCAATTTTTTATTTTTTGGTGAACCAAGATTTTGTTTTTAAGTGCTGTTTTTGAATTATATCCGATAGTACCCAAACACTGCATTTGATAGTTTTGATTTTTGTTGTAATGTGCAATGTTTCCACATTATTTTTTTGATTTGAGATATAACACAAATACTGTTTGAAGAATCTGAAAATATTCACACGATAATATCAGAAATTTTCACAGGAACCATGGTAACTTCATGAGATAAACTTTTTGTCTAAAATCCTGAGAAAACTGTTTTTTATGTTACATATATATTACTGCCATGGCCTTATATTAACCCTTTTCTTCTTCTTTTACAAAATCGTGTATGTCTGGTGGCTGGTGCCTTTCATTACGTAATTTTAGTATTAGGCTTAATGTCGTTTTAACTTTGTTTTTCATTGTAATTCGTTTATCATATATATTATTCACTGTAATAATTTCAATCATTTACAAAAATGATATTAAAACTTCATCTTATAAAAGATGTCGACTTCAACGCTTTAAAATATATATGCAATTAAAATGTATATCTTGATAATTAAAATGTTATTTTTTTTATTAATATTTGCATATAAAACAATCAATTAAAAAGTAACTTTTTATCATCACTATAATTTTTAATTATTCAATATGATTATGAGCACTTAAATCTGTAATTTAAGCCCACATAATCACCTTTTAGCTATTATTGAGTCATTACATTTTATATATTTACGATTACCAAATTAACACCTCTTAATTACATTTTCGAATACGGATTTATATCATTAATGAATTAAATAACGAACAGACGCATTAAAAGTTTTTTATGCAATTTAATATTTTTATTTGAAACTCATAAACCGGCGAAGTAGCTATAACTTGTACGAAATAATAAATTTTTAATCACGTAATATGATCAATGTCAGTATTCGTGTAAAGAAATAGTCGTCATCGTGTTTTAGGTTTAGCAGTTTTTTTAATATCATATTATTAGAAATGCTGTTCTCCTACACAATTTTATGTTGAAGTAGTTGTAAACATTTTTGCTCTATGCACCCACATAGCATCGTAAACTGAGAAGTTTCTCATAAATTACTAAAGGTAGTGTAAATTCAAATAGTATATATAAATGTCAAAATCTCCAATTCAAATGTTTTAACATATGATTTTAGTACTCACTTTGACTTAAAATTGGACATATATTACGTTACTTATAAACATTGTACATACATTTATTTATAATAAATTGATTTTGACTATACTATACCATACTATACTAATGAATTGATTTTGATGTAGATAAACAACAGATCAACATCGGATGTTTAAAAATCATGATTATTAATATGCCAGTTTACCGAATATTAAGGAATATATAATTTTAAAAAATGCCATATGTGTTGTGCATAGGAGACTGGGTACGGTTGTGCCAGGGTACGGTAGTGACAGTATACTAAACTATAGTTATAACTGCAAATCTAAACTTATTTTGAGATAGGGTCCAAAGCGAGAAAGATGAAGTATGATTGTTCGAACAAGTTTACATTAATGAATTGAGTCAGCGCCCTATATTAACATGACTTATAGATTTTAAAAAGTCAAAAGCATATTTTCATGTTCGAATTCTTTTAATAATAACTGTTAATTGTATACAGATAGGTCACTTTATTTGTTATTTTGTTGTAAGTTGAACATTAGAAGTTATTTACCAGCAATTAGTTTTTGCTTAGCTAATTTAGCTCAGTCATAATAATGATTTGTTTTCAAAAGTGTGTGTTGAGTACGATTCTGACAAATTTTGTGTGACATGTATTTCTTGTCCTGTCTGGTTAAAGATTACACAGATAAAAAAACCTAACTTAACTAATAAGATAAAATACAAAAAAAAAGGAATAGGAAAATTTGATACAAGTAAAAAAAGATTCTGCAAATAATTATTGTTAACATTGTTAAAAAATTTATGGTTTATAATATATTGTTATATTTTGTTCATAAGCTTTGTTTAAATGTTGCGTTGTCTTGCATATTATTGTTATTAACGATAATAAAAGTCCTTATAAACCTTTTTGGTGTTTATAGCTATTATTTTTAACCTATTTAAGGCATTTTTCACATTAATTTTGAATATGTTTATTATATGTCAGTAAGTAATAAATCACACAGTCATAATCAAAGCACCATACATCAAAGACAATGCATCTCTTTTGTATCTCATGTATATTTCTGTATCTGACACCGTGACATTTATAGTTAGAATCGTATATTATTAGAATCGGCGGAGATTGCCTTTTAAAGTTCTTATCAGTTGTTCTAGTTCCGATACTATTAGAAAAGATTGCCTTGAAGTCAATAGCAAGAACAGATGTAAGATCTACTAATTTATGCTTTACTCATTATTTTACTCACAAATTGTCAGACAAATTTATAAATATTTATAAAATTTTATTTATTGTTGAACAAACCTCTTCGGGTTTAATGTATAGGTACTTGCTATCTGTAGTCAGTACTATTTTCATATTTTAATTATAATCTATAGTAACTAGAACAATAGCATTTTTATTTGTCCGTCAAAATTTGGGTTGAGGTATAAAAATTTCACTAACTGATCCTTACAATAATCAACTATTTTGCATTATTTAGCAATCGTACTGCTTTAACTGCATAAAGACGAAATATTGAAACGCGTAAGCGCCGCGCCACCGTTTAACAGACAATCATTGGTACGGAACCAACAGGAATGTAAACAATATGTATACTTATTGTTAAAATCTCTATAAAATATCTGATAATTTGATGTGCATATATCTAATGATCATTTTAGACCGTCAGATGGCATTTTTTTAACTTTCTTCACTAGATCTCTAAAACCGCTAGACCTGCCTTCATGAAAATTTGATCAGTTCTTTATCTTATCAATACAAGTAAAATGTTGTTTGAATTATTCAAATCGGATGCTCCGTTCTCTTAAAAACTGAGTTACCGTTTTTGGCACTTTTTGCCTCATATCTTCGGAACGGCTAGACCTGCCTTCGCCAAAAACTAATCAGCACGTCTCCTTATCAATACGAATCGAATGTTTTTTGAATTATTCAAATCGCTTCATCCGTGTTCCCGAAATCGTCGATGAAAATTTGTATCCGCACACACTTTTACACACACATACACACACACACATCCATTTTTTCTAAGGTATGCCAAAATATTTAGAAACCTCTGAAACGTAAAGATATATAAAAAATTTCTTTTTCGATTTTTTTGCGATTACTATAACTTACCCTACGGGAAGTTAATAACCAAAATAATAGTATTTTACATTTTTCATACATTTCCGCATATATCAAAGTTTTCATGTTAGAAAAATAAAAATTACAAGAACTAATTATTACTTACAATATAAAATTATTACACTGATAATAAAATCGTCTTTGGAATAAGATAAGTATCTTAAAAGAGTGATCTGAAATTTTTATAATATTGGTTCTATAAATTTATTAAATCAATTATTTTTTGAATTTTGAACCAAAATTTGCGGCTATTATATTTTATATGTTTTTAGACTTATCAAGTAGTTTTACTTGTTCTACAATATTTTTACTTCTTTTTAATTTATATACCACTTTAGTACAAAATTAAATAAAATTAAAATAAAAATACGTGACTATTTGCATAATAAAAAAAAAAAATTTTTATAATTATAGTGCTATTAAAATAATTTACTTTATATAGATTACCCCATTTTCATTTGTTCTAGGAATCTAATCCTAGTTTTGACTGCATTCCAATAAATTGCCCTTTGACATTATTATACCAAAATCTTGATTCATACTCTATTCAAATTGAATTTATCTAACTTTGGATTTGCGAAAAAATGACATCACTATAGAAATCTGCCCATCGCATTCAAATCATATTTACACATATTGAGAAAGGACACTCTATTTTACATATATTTAAATAGGATTTATCTAAGAAGAAAAACATATTTGGGACGAGCCAATAAAGTACCTGGGAAAATGTAATGTATTCAAGATTTGAAATATCATGTTTTGTTATAAATATTAACAGTTGTAAGTATAAGATTCTTTTGTTGTTAGTTACCTAATTTTCCTAATAATTGACTTCAGTATTGTTTTCTTTATTTGTAAAATTTTGTAATCTAATTGCAGTAACTTCTGCAGGAGTCTGTCTCAAAATATTTTCTGTACAAATTATTTCTAATTTCGAGTTATGTTGCCGCAGGACTAATGCATTTAACATTTTGTTACAGAAATTAGTCGGTTTATTCATTACTTTTGCCCTACAGAATGTGACATACTGCAAACTTCGTACTTTCATAACATTA